AGTCCCTGTGTCAGCCTAAGCAGATGCTTTAGTCCGCTGAGCTATCTGGCCCGCCCCTTATATTGATTCTTAAAACAAAACTTTCCTATGGGCACGGTGCTCACTGCCACACATCGCATATGTGTGGGTAACTGGATGGCTTAACGTTATTCCTAATGCAAAGCTCCTCTCCACAGCCCTGTGGCGTCCCTGCCAGTCCCAGTCTTGCAGGACCCAAGCTGGGCAGAACTAGACTTCCTCCTCCTTCAGGCTCTGGGGAAAACCCTGCCCCTTCTCTCTCCCGTGGTGGCACTGCCCTACCGCTGTGCTGCCCTTCTAACTGTGCCGCCTGCAGATGGCAGCTATGCTTGTAACCCAAGGGATGAAGTGACGGAACAGTGAGAGCAGGTTCCTTATGTTGTAACCACAGTATTACAGGTCACCGATCCTCACTCATCTCCTGATAATGCTGCTCTTATTCTTTTCCCTGTCACCACAGAGGAACGTGGAGATGCTTCTCCAACCTCGCCCTTGTTTTTCCTTGCTTGTCAGCTCATCTGGGACATCTACCCACTTTCTTTCCTACCAGGGACAGGACACAGCTGCAACTGTGCGCAAGGAGACAAAGGGGCACAGTGGCGTGGGAAGTCCCAGCCTGTGTGCGGTTCCATGGTTCCACAGCATCTCCCTGAACAAGTGGCAGCCCTTCTGTCAGGGAAGTTCCCCTGAGCTGGCTTCATCAATAATGACTTTGATTGGTTGCTCTCTGCTCTTCATGGGATGGCAGTGGTAACCCAAAAGGCAAAAGGAAAACTACTTATTAAAAAACCAGACTAAGCAGAAAAGTCAGCTTGTTCTACTGAGGAGCTGCTGTAGAGATGTGGAGGATGAAGTGAAGATTTAGCATGAAGGCAGCAAATGACGGGCACTGGCCCTGGTGTGAACTGCTGAATCACTGTGGTGGTCATCTAATATGGCTGAAGCCCTTAAATCAACAGCTTATCTTCCCTGAGATCACCTCCCTGCTTCTCCAACTCAGCGCAGGGTGCAGTTTCCTTTCACCTTTCCTGCTGCCTTAGGGAAGACCCCAACCAGTTCCTCAGGTATATCTAAACATCCCCCTCAAACTCCACCCCTGATAAAAGCCTCAGCCTCCCTTTGTTCCAACTCAGAGAATCCCTTATCTTCCCCAGATTCTCTCCGTGTCCTCAAATAATAATAAAGCCTCTTTCCTTTTTCCTTCTATTTCTCTGCCACAACACCATTGAAAACCTATCAGCAAATCCTCCAACTTTGCCACATGACTTCTCCCTGCTGTTTTCACAGGTCCTATTTACCTCAATTACAACACAGAAGTGGGGTGGGAACGAGATTTTAGTTTCTCCTAGGCAGGATTATTTTACATGATATATGGGAAATAAAACCTACAAAAAGAGGCGATTCAGGCCACTCCGCCAGTCCTGGCTGGACTGCATATCACTCCCACTTACACTCAATCTAGACTCCTAAGACAGCACCTAGAGGCTAATTTTCAACTCGAGCCAGGAATGTAGCCAAAGCTTCATTGCCATGGACATGGGCCCATGGGGACAAGCCAGGGCCATGTTGTACTAGTGGGCAAGGGTCCAACACAGAGCCCTGTGTCTTGAGTCATGCTGAGCCATGGTCTTCAAAGTGTGGTCCTGGGACCAGCAGTGTGAACATCCTGGGTTCTTGTCCAAATATCCATCTTGGGCTGCACTGAGTCCTAAGCCACAGGCTCAGTGGGTGGGGAGGTAACTGTGAGAACAGACGCTCACCAAGCTGAGCCTGGTGTATGCTCCAGTTTGAGAACCACTGGCCTAGTGTACTGGGGCCACCACTGTCAGTGCAAAGATGCCAGGGTTAGATCCGTCTCCTGCTGCCGGCTGGGATGTAGAGGGCTTCCTAAAGGCCATGTGCCAAAGACCCCCTTCAGTTTGCAGCAGGATCCCAGCCTCTCTGCAGTTGGACTGCTCTTTGGTTGACCCAAGAGCTCCGAGGGAGAGGGAAAAATGTGGAAGGACTTTAGGTGGCTGGGTATGAGGCACTTTTGAGGCCAGTTCATCATTTTAAACTCAAGCAGAAAGCACAGTTGGAAAAAATCACCAGAAACCTAGCCAAGGCCAGTGTCAAGGCTGAGATCTAGAAAACAAGCGCAGGACAAAGTGTCCTCCACCAGGGCAATGAGTGTGTCAAAGAACTCAGAGGCCTTGGAGTCTTGATACATTTTGGATAATGGAGTTGGGAGGAGAGTAAGCCCTCAGCAAACTGTTCCCAGTGTACAGCGGCCTGGAGCGCTGCTACCGCCTCCTGGGGCTTCTTCCAAGCTCTGAGTTCTCTGCCTGCTGAGATCTTACCCAACCAGTCTAGCCCAGCAACACAGCCTGCTGTCTCTCCCTTCACTGCCCACTCACGTGCGCAGAGACAGGAGTTTAAGGCAAGGGCCCGCAGACTACCACCTGTCACTGTGTGGCTCACACAATGGATTTTCATTTCTATTTTATTTTTATTTATTTAATTTTTTTTTAAAGACAGGGTCTTGCTATACCGTTCAGCCTATCCTCGAACTCACTATAATAGTCCGGGCTGGCCTCAAACTTGAGGCAATCCTCCTGCCTTAGCCTCCTCAGTGCTGGAATTACAGGTGAACATCACCATGCTTAGTTCTGATTTTCACCTTTAAATGACTGGAAGAAACTTTAAAGACTTCTAGAGTCTGTGAAAATGACATAAAATTTGACCATCAGTGCCCATGAAGTATTATTGGAACAGCTCTGCCCAGGTGTTTACACATGGTCAGTGGCTGCCTCCACACTCCCAGGAGTGAGCTAGGAAGGTGCCACGGGGACTTGCGGCCTGCAAAGCCACAGCACCTGCGACCTGGCTTTTGCAGAAGAAGTGACTGATCCTGCTTTATTTTTTGATTTTTATTATTTTTATGTATTTTGTACAAGGTCTTGGACTCCTCCTAGTGATCCTCCTATTTTCAGCCTCAGCGCTGGGATTATAGGTATGCGCCACCATGCCTGGTCAGGGTGGCCAGCTCAGTATGCCCCGGGGGTGAGGCTGGTGCAGCATGTGTCACTGGGGATCGAACTCTGGTCCCTGTGCTTGCCTAAGCAGGTGCTTAGTCTGCTGAGCTATTTCACCGGCCCTTGACCCTGCTTTAAATAGGGATGCAGTTCAGATCCCAGCCCAATCCTGAAGCCAGGTATAGCTGTGCCTCCACATCCCAAGCAGGAGTCATCCTTTATTGCTGCGTTCTTATCACTTATGCTGAGGTGGAGTGAATGTCACTGAGGATCAGTTCCGAGTGCCTCCACTTTCCTGTCATAGCCTCTGTCCCTCCATTCCCAGAGATAGTGAAATCATCCCACGTGAGCTTTGGCTCCAAGCGCACTGTGCCCAAGCCAGCAGTACAAGGCTCAGGTATTTCTAAGCACTCTTTCTTGCTCTTTCGCCATATTTGCCAAAGCAATCCAAGTGTCACTTCACCCAGCATAATGTGTTGGCATAATTTAAGCACCAAAGATCTGTTCTCAAGAGGGTGAGTCCACAACTTTCTTTCTTAAAAATACTTTTAAAACTAGATCTTGCCATTTACCCTTGATATCAAAAAGTTGATTTAATAAAAATCAGACGGCACCTGAATATACTGTTGCTTCTCACATGCTCTACCAATCTCAGTTGCCAAAACTTAGATTCACTCAAGGACCCATTTGCAAACCAGAAAGCATCTATTTCTTTAGAACTACACTTCCAAAGCCAACTTTATATTCATTTCTCAATAAAAGAGCTGCTCCCTTGGACATCTATCCTGATTTGAGCTTTTATGAGTGCTGAACATGACTCTGGTTTCTAACTGAACACAGATACTTTTTAGGCATTTGGTATCTGAGGCCCAACACAAGTACTTCAAAGCAGCTGACAGGAAGGCTGCACAGTGAAGCAGAGACATTTAGGGGCATCTGCGAAGCTGAGCTGGTTCACAACTGACGGTCGCCACCCAAGGTGGTGCTTCAAGCATCTTTCAGAGCAAGTATACGCTGCCACAGGGAACCTCCAACGTGGGGACTACTCCCTGCTCCTACCTGCAAAGCTCTATGCCGGCTGTGCCTCAGGAAGTGAGACCCCTGGCAAGCCTACTTCATTGGGGCAGAACATAGCACAGCAAGGGAAGAGACTGGAAGAGGAGGCGGGCAGGCTGAGTCCCTTCCCTGCACCGTGTGGCCACATTGCCTGAGAGCAGGAGTCAGCTCTGCCAGGGCCCGACATCGAGTCTGTGACCCACCGCGCCATCAGGAGGGAGAAGAGGGCTGGGCTGACCTCCCCTTGGCGACCTGAGCCAAGCGGCCTCCTAGCCCTTCTGTTGCTACTCCACTCCCCAAAGCGCTGGAGCAGCGGCAGAACCTGGAGAGGGGGGAGCGGGTCCCAACCTCCCTTGCACGGGGATCCTCTGGAGCTCCAGAGGTGGCCTCCGCAGTAGGGGAGCTAGAAGGCAGCCACAGGTGCCCACGGGACAGACTCGGAGGCTTGGCCGGCAGTCACCCGCATTGTGCCTGCTGCCGTCGCCTGCCAGCTCCGTCCAACCTCAACCTCAAGGGCACAGCGGCGCGGGAGGCTCAGGAGGGAGGGGGAGCTCCCGACAGCAGGGCGGGTCGGGTTTTGCTCCCAGCGGCCGAGCTGGGGGGCCTCGGGGCACTGGCCGCCGCACCACAGAAGCCAAGAGAGACGCGGCAGGACATCGCACTCGCAACCCCGGGGACCCGACGGACCTGCGAGAGGTCGTGGTTCCCTTAGCCACGGTGCCCGCCCTCGGGCCCCAGCGCCGACGCTAGCCGCTTGGGGACCACGGGGACCAGAGACGCGGGAGCCAGAGACCACAACCCGGCTGCCCCGCCGAGCTCCGACTTTTTAAAGCCAGGCATACCCCCATCCGCCCAGCAGCGGAACAGACAGTCCGCCTCCCGCTCACCCGCGACCCCGACCGGCGCACGTACCCATGGTGGCTGCTTCGAGGGCTCGGGCGAATGCCAGGAGTCCGTCAGCTGCTCTGACTTTGTTTCCAGGCCCTGCCCAGCGAGCTACCTGGGCAGCTGGAGGTGTGCGAGGCGGGGCTGGCCAGCTCCACCCTCGGAGGTGGCGGTGGGCAGGGAGCAGAGATCGAGGCGCTTGAGTCCCGGCAGGACGCAGGTGTTCTTTGCCTGCGGAGCTGGGAGGTACCTGGGGCGGGTCACAGGCCACCTGGGGGGGCTCAAGGCCCCGCCCCCAACCATTGACTCGGTAATTAGGACTGGGGCTGAGAATGTGCATTTTAAATAAGTCTAAGGGTGATGCTGCTTGCTGGTCCTGGACCAGGCTGTGGAAAACACTATACACGAGTTACTTTGTCCGGGCAAGCAGAAGTGGGCCACATGGTCAGTTCTGCGCAGGAGTTATGTCTCTTGGTGCATGCGTGCATTTAAGGGTAGGATTAATGTCTGTGTGCATGAGTGAAGATGCACACAGTAGAGGTGTGCATATATGCATCATATATATATATATATATATATATATATATATATATATATGTGTGTGTGTGTGTGTGTGTGTGTGTGTGTGCTCGTGATTCGTGTCTATATGTGCATGGATGCATACATATATATGTGGCTTTTCCCGGAGTTTGCACTGTGGAAAACATTTTTGGAGGAGTCTACCTTTTCCTCTCTTTAAGAAAAAATGAATAAAAATAAAAACAACAACCATCTCCACATTGGTTTTTGCTTTCTTATCTGGTGAGTTTTTGTGGTGCAAACACAGGAGGACACCAAGAAGGAAAAGAGTTCTGTGAACTCGACTCCTCGAGGTGCCTCCTGTGTGCTACACGGCGTAGTCTGTCCCTTGTGACTGGCTTCTTTCACTTGGCATAACGTCCTCTAGGTCTAACCACGCTGCACAGGATCAGAGCTCCCTTCCTACTCGGGGTGAAGAGCGGCCATTGCAAGAGCGTACAGCACCTCTTTGTTACACCTCTCACCTGGCCCCAGCATCTCCCAAGCCCTAGGAGCTCCCAGCTGCACAGGTGGGAGAAGTGTATGGGGGAAACAGAGGCAGCCTCTCCCCACAGGCCTGCACCTGCCCTGCTTTCTTCACAGTGCTGAGGAGGAGGAAACTGCTCCCCCGCCTTGCCTAACTGGAGCGTACAGGAGAGCAGGTGACGTTGCCTGAGACTGGAGGCTGCAGGCCTCCAAGAAGAGAGGCGGCTCTCTCTGGAAGCAGCTTTCCCAGGCACTGGCCTTCAGTGGCTGGACGCAAGGGGGCAAAGTTTCTGTAGACGGGTTTTCTCTGTGGGCTAGAACTCTTGCCGAATTCCTGAACCTGGAATCCCAGCCTCTGTAAATGATTTCTTGGTCTACACAGCAGTTCTCAAAGCATGGTTCTTGGACCACCAGCCAAAGCATCTCCAGGAATTCTAGGAGCCAGCACGGATCCACAGAACCAGAAACTAGGATCTCATGGGTGCAGCAGACATCTCAGCTGTGTGCTTATTTGATCCTTCATTCCAGAACTACTTATCACTTCTAAGCTACTGTGCTAATGACAGATATTGGGCACACTGGAAACAGTGCCGAGCCAGCCTCAGAATCTGCACTGGTGCGACTTTTTAAGCATGGCCAGGAGCTCCAGACAGGGATGCATAAATAAAGAACAAAGCCCTGCGTGGGGAGGGTGGGGAGCTCTGCTGGACCTGAACAGACCAGCTGGTGCTTCAAGCCCACTGGAATTCTTAGTATGACAGGGACTTGAAGTGGTATTTCTCCCTGGCCTGCTCTTTGGATGTGGTGCTGGAGACAGCAGAACTGGGATGGTCTGCCTTGGAGTCACATGACATTGACCTCTCTTTAGTCCATCCTTTTCCATCAGTCAGCCCTCCTTACTTCCACCTACAGGTCCACTGGAGTTTGGCAGCTCCAAATAACAGAAATGGGTTCTCACTGTTCTGGAGGCAGAGGTCTGAAACTGGCATGGGTGGCCTGCTCACCACAAAGGCTTCTGGGAAAACTGCTTCTCATCTCTTCCAGCTGCTGGTGGCTCCTCCTTGGTGTGGGGCCATCTCATCCTAAGCCTAGCCTTGTCTTCACATAGCCTTCTTCTCTCCTAAGGGTGTTTGTCAGAAGATGAGCTCATCTCAAGATCCTTAGCTTTACTTACAAAGATTTTTTCCAAATAATGGCATATTCACAGATAATGGTTTCATTTGGAGGAGGGCATCATGGAGACCATGACAGTTCCCAAAGAGCCCCAAGTCTAGACTTGAAGTACAGAACTCACAAAGTGGTCATGGATAAAGGGAACTATCACTGGGTCTCAGAGGATTGTCTTTAGTCAACTGATTGTAAAAGAAGCAAATGCCTGATAAATGAGATCAGTGCTCTGTGGTGTCAGTAAGAATCACCCCAACCTGGAGCCCTCATGATGTCCTTTTGGAAGCACTTGAGTGGTGCAAGAGCATCGCAGCATCTGCGCTAGTCAGAGCACTCTCTTGAGAAGTGTGGAGGACCACCTGGGCACCTCTCCTTGAAAGAAGAGCAGTTGTCTCCATTTTGGCTGAGCCTGACCCTATTTCTATGTACTGATATGTACAGAGGGGCTAGGACTTTTCCTTACCCCCGCAACTGGCTTTAAGTGATGCATATTGATCTGGTGGTAGTCTCTGAAGATGACACGCGTGTTTCCCCAGTGACTCCTACCTGCTGCTCTTTAATATGAGTTGGGTTGAGACAGGATGAAGAGCCAATGCTCCACGCTGTCAGCTGGGATCAAGCCTTGAGATAGAGGCTATGACTTCCCGGGGCTTGAAAGATTACACATCAGAGTTGAAGCAGCAGACCCCAAAACACTAGATACGATCTCAATTGTGTGATGCAGGTTACTCTCTGCATATCCTTTACTCTGCATATCGCAGAGGAAAAGGCAGGCCTCCTGTCTAGCCCAGCTCACAGTACTTACCTACTTCCTGCCATTCTCAGTCATTCATCCTCAAGCCACTCCTCCTTCATGACTGAATAAAACCTGGGTTCGGCCCTGGGTTGAGGCCTTTGTTCTGGATAGCCATCACTATGGCTGGACTTAGGACCCCTTGGCTCCCCATAACTATAGATATGCCTTAGTGTCTTTAGTCCTATCGTGGGTTGCACTGGAAGTGGTAGACTGGAATTAACTTGATGGGATTCCAACAGCTTATCTATGGGATTACAAATATAAACTTCCCAGACTGAGATGAGGCTTAGGAAAGGCCCTCTATAGAGAAGGTGGCTCAAGAACTTTTTGGAGTCACTGAGTACCATTTTTTTCTAGCTTTCTCTCAGATTCCTTGGCTGTAAGCACCTTTTATTTTTATTTATTTATTTATTTATTTATTTATTTATTTATTTTTTAAGGTAAGGATCAAGTGGGGCAGAGGTTTATTTCTTTTTTTTTTTTAAATTTTTCAACAGATAATACACTGCATATATTCTTCTTAGTGGTTAATTGCTGTACAAGATGCGGACTTGTGATCCTATTTACAAACACCATTAGAACAAATCATTCTATTCATTAACAGAATGTAACTATATATCTATCCCAACCACTTTGAATACACAGATACAAAATGGACATTCATCTGTATACCCCATTTTTTCTAAGTTCCGTTATTGAATGTTATAGGTGTGTAAACTCAGCAAAATATTCTAAAAGAGTCCAGTAGCCCATAATAGCATTGGGTCTTCTGTTTATTTTTAATGTGTTTAGTATAAGGTCCACAGGGTCTCACTAAACAGACTGCACTCATAGTGATCCTTCTATTTTCAGCCTCCCAAGTTCTGAGATTACAGGCACATGCCCCCATGTCCACTCTCAATTGCTGTCTCAGCGTGTCCTGGGGGTGCGGCATTGCATGCTGGGGATGGAACCCTGGTTCCTGCATCTGCCTAAGCAGGCACTTTAATCCACTGAGCTATCTGGCCAGCACCAAGACCTTCTAATTCCATCCTGGGGGAAAATGAAGAGTCAAATATAAAGTAAGTAGCTCTGACGAGGTGAATGTTAAAGTAGACTTCAGGCCTAAACAACAGACATGGGTCCCACAAGCCTGAGAAGGGAGATTCTCAAGCATAGAATGGGATGGGAAGGGAAGAATTTGAGGTATAAAGGCCTGAAAGTCACTTGGAAAATAGGAGGAGAGGAAGTTCCAGTAGCTGGTTGAAGTTCCATCGGTGGTACATTGGACTAAGAGCTGGCAGGAGAGATGTATACGTCTTGGTACAGTGCCCCAAATCCTCAGAATACTGACCAGCTAACCCTAGGAGCATAGCAGCATGCTCTGAGCCGCCGTCCTGCCCTTCCATGCACATTCTTATTTAATTCTTTCTTCACCACAGTGGCTGTTATTATTAGGGAGCACTTTTTTTCCAGTTTAGTTTTTTTTGTTACAGAAAGTTTCAAAGTTGCATGAAGAGAGAGGGATAGAATGGGCCCTTGTTCATCCACTGGCTTGCTTGGCTCATTGTTCACCTTGTGCTAATCTTCCCAGATTTTATGAGGAGCAAACTTCAGCGTGTTGTACTTGGTTACACAGCCCGAGGTCATGCAGCTGCTTGGCAGGAGGGGCAGGATTTCCCTCAGAAGCCTCCTGTTCCTTAGTTGTCAAGGTCTTTATACTCTCCCTCTGTTAAACTCTACCATCAGTAAAAACCCTGCCACACCACACTGTGGAGGCCCCACAGCTCTGCTGTGATTTCCAAGTGTCCCTAAGCCCCAGTCAAAAGTAATGATTGCAAACTTAATCCCCGGTACAATGGCCTAGAGAGCAGGGACTCTGGGAAAAGGTGGGGTCCTTGCTCTGCTGCCCCCAAGGATGGGCTCATGCTGAGCACATACCTCAGGCAGGTGGATGCCACAAGTCCAAGGCCAGCCTGCATTACACAGTGACACTCTACTTCCAAATACAAAAAAATAAACAGTAACAAAAAAACCACAAAACCTCCCAAAACTTCATTAATATTTGTTTTGAGAAAGCATCCTATTGCTTCTTGGCCTTTTGGCTAAGATCAAGCAGAGAGATCATCCTAAATTACAAGGCAAGAAATGGTGAAGTCTTATGCATTATTAGTTTACATGCCAGCAATATTACAATTTGTCACCTGACA